TTTATAATTAGGGCACTGTAACCCAATACTTAATTTGTGTAACATTGCTCAGTGGAGCACAGAATCTTACTATTATAGCATAATCATAGAAACACTCTGAACTTTTTCATTGGTAAAAAATAAAGTGAAGAGAACTGGTAAAAGTTGTGCCAAAGTAATTTCAAATTGTTGTATACTAAAATTTATGAACTTTGTAGCATGGTATGCTTTTAAACACATGTATAAATGTAGAATATAGCAATATTTGGTATGTACAGGGGTGAGCCAAAGTAGGTTTAAAGTTGTTCATATGGAAAAGGCATGCAGATTATGATTATTACAATAGCTTTATTATAATACTAGTGACCCGGTGCATGAAGTTCGTGTACATTAAAAGGGGATTAATTAGAGGAAATAATTTAATATTGCTATTTGCCCTTTCTCTATAATATAATAGAAATGTCAAAGATGAAAGAAAAGTAGTCAAATGTATATGAAAACCTTCCTCCTGTCAGAGTCTGGGTCAGGGGACCCAGAGTCAAGTCCCCATCTACCCACATGCACCTCAAAATCGCATGAGACCTAGACCCATGTGCCCTCCCCCCCCCAATTGGGCTAGATCCAGACCTGGCCAGTCCCACCCTTGTCAAGCCCTGTCAGGCATGGGTTGTAACCTCAGGTCCCCTGACCAGGCATCAGGATGGGGGGCATGGCATGAGGTCCCCTGGCCCAGAACGGGGTAAAGGGTGTGACTTGAGATCCTCCATCAAGCCCCGCCAGGTGGGGGACATGGCCTGAGATCCCCTGTCAACCCTACCAGGCAGGGGAGCGCAGCCTCAGGTTCCCTGGCCTGGCACTGAGGTGGGGAGTGTGGCCTGAGGTCCCCCAGCCTGACACCAGGGCGGGGGCGTAGACTGAGGTCCCCCATCAAGCCTTGCTAAGTGGGGGGTGCGCCCTGAGGTCCCCTGTCAAGCTCCTCGGGGGTGGGGGAGAGCGTAGCCTCAGGTCCCTGATGATTGCTTGTTAAGGCTCCTTATGGGAACTTGGCCTCAGCTGTGGGTGCAGCCATCTTTGTGACAGAGTGATGGCCAATTAGCATATTCCCTCTTTATTAGATAGGATAAATATAAACTCTGTGTTTTGTGTACTCACAACTGTAAACCTACGTTTGCCCACATGTGTATTTGTATTGCCTATAATTGTCCTATATTCTTGGTCAGCAAATTGCGTCTTGTGAACCACATGCGGCTCTTTGGCCCCTTGAGTGTGGCTCTTCCACAAAATACCATGGCCTGGGCAAGTCTATTTTGAAGAATTGGCATTAGAAGAAGTTTAAGATAAAAAAATTTGACTCTCAAAAGAAATTTCAATCATTGTACTGTTGATATTTGGCTCTGTTGACTAGAATTTGCTGACCACTGCCCTATACCTGTTTATGTGAGTTCTTCTTTTAAAAAAAAAAAAAATGGTGAGAAGGAATGATGGCTTTTTTGTGGTAAAATGTACATGACATAAAATTTTCCATTTTGGTGATTTTTAAGTATATAGTTCAGTGGTATTAATTACATCCATATTGTTGTGTAACTATCGCCATCACCTATCTCCAGAGCTTTCTCACCACAGCAAACAAAAATCTGCAGCCCTGCAACACCACTCCCCTTCCAGAAGGTGTCAAACCCCGGTAGCCTCTAGCCTACTTTCTATTACTAAGAACTGGAGTCTTTTATATATTTTATGTAAGTGGAATCATATAAAATTTGCCCTTTTGTGTCTGGTTTATGTCACTGAGCATAATGTCTTCAGGGTTCATCCATGTTGTATCAGAATTTCCTTTTTAGGTCGGAATAATATCCCATTGTAGGTATACACCATATTTTGTTTCTCCATTCATTTGCTGATTTGCACTTTTATTGTTTCCACTTTTTAGCTATTGTGAATAATGCTGCTATAAAAATTGGTGTACAAATATCAGACAAAGTTCCCACTTCAAAACTTTTTGGGTAATATTCAGAAGTGGAATTGCTAGATCATATGATAATTCTGTTTATATTTTTTTAAGAAATCATCATCTATTTGCTATAGTGGCTGGACCATTTCACATTCTCACCAGCAACATATAGGGTCCCAATTTCTCCACATCAAACAATTGTTTATATTTTTTTCAGGATAATAATATAAATTAAAATTTTATGATAAAATTTCTGTTCATATTTCTTTTCATTTTTTTCCATCCATTTTCACTTGATTTTACCACTGAAATAAAACCACAAGATTTCTGCTGCAAGACTTAAACTGATTAGACACCCTAATTCCAAGAAGTTTACTGCAAAGGCAGAAACAGAGAGCATTAAAAGTTATTAAAGTTAATTCATGGAATAATTATAAGGAATGGGGTCAAAGGGCAGAGTTTCCTCCCTTATATATATATTTTTTTAAATATATTCTTATTGATTTCAGAGAGGAAGGGAGAAGCAGAGAAAAACATCAATGATGAGAGAGAATCATTGATTGGCTTCCTCCTGCACACCTCACACTTGGGATTGAGCCTTCAAACTGGGCATGTACCTTGAAAGGGAATCAAACCATGACCTCCTGGTTCATAAGTCAACACTCAACTAAAATCTTAATGTCATGCTACATTTCTTAGAATGTAATGACAAAACCAACTTACAACAAGAAGCTGAGAGCAAAGACTAAAGTAAGCTCTACTAAAAGCAAACTGAAGGGAAATATGCACAAATAATGAAGGAATGAGTTTAACCTTTCAAATGTAGGTAGAATTAAAGGTAATGTGCACCTCCATATTCTGTGTCTTCCTGATAAAAAGGTAATCGAGAATTTAAAATTATTTTTTCTGACACTTTGTTCAGACTGTTGCATAAGATGAATGATGATAATTTGGTTTAAAATATTATCAGCATTTAAGTAAAACAAAGAAATGTTTAAGATATTAGGTTAAGTAAAACATTAAATACTTGAAACAGGCTAGAATTAAAATAATTATTTTAGAATTAAAAATACTCATCTAACAAAAAAGTAAAATGAGAATATTCATACAAAAACTTCTTTAATTAACACAAAAAATATAACTTCTCAGATTTATTATAATATGACTGTTATGTCTCTTTATAAAATACTAGAGGCCCGGTGCATGAAATCCATGCACTGAAGGGGAGTGGCCCTCAGCCCAGCCTGCACCCTCTCCAATCTGGGACCCCTAGGGGGATGTCTGATTGCCGGTTTAGGCCCGATCCCTAGGTCGATCCTAAACTGGCAGTCAGACATCCCTCTCACAATCCAGGAATGTTAGCTTCCAACTGCTTGCCTGCCTGCCTGCCTGCCTGATTGCCCCTAACCTAAGGTAACCAGACGTCCCGCTTTTGGCAGGAAAGTCCCGATTTTTAACAATTTGTCCCAAGTCCCACAGCGTTTTTAAAAAGTCCCGATTTTTGGAAAGAATGCACAACAAACTAGGGAACTGCGGATGAAAGGGAAGGGAATATACATTTTTCAGAGGCCATGTGGCTATTTAGCCAGGATATGAGTTTTATATTATTTTTGTTAATTTTATAATGTTAAACTTTAATAATAACAAATTGTTGAGAACTGATTATGGAGAACTGCTTATCAAAGTTCACATTGTTGATCAATTGTTAGAATTTGACCGCCATTTTGGACTTAATGAACAATGGCATTTTTGGGGATTGGCAATGATGAAAACATTTTGTAACTATCTCTCAGACGATACACATCGTACTGCTTGCTAGTAAGCTAATTAAACAAGTGATGTCATTACAAATCAGCTATTCAGATAATTTAGGTAAGTAATTTATTTATTTATTTCATAAATACATAAATTTTCTTGAATTTAGCAGACAGTACTCGTATTATTCATATTTTATAGTGGTGGCAAAAAGTCTAGAGCCCGCCTTGAAGTGACACAACTATACATAATTTTTTTATTTATTATATTTGTAAATTGTACTTATGTTGAAATTTTGAAAAATATATTACAATACTATTTTTGCGTTCTGTGAAAATTTTTGTTGCTCCATATAGATCAAATTTTTAATCAAGAACCCACCCATGCCGAAACCGGTTTGGCTCAGTGGTAGAGCGTTGGTCTGCGGACTGAAAGGTTCCGGGTTCGATTCCGGTCAAGGGCATGTACCTGAGTTGCGGGCACATCCCCAGTGGGGGCTGTGCAAGAGGCAGCTGGTCGATGTTTCTCTCTCATCGACGTTTCTAGCTCTCTATATCTCTCCCTTTCTCTCTGTAAAAAAATCAATAAAATATATTAAAAGAAAAAAAAAAGAAAGAACCTCCCCACCCCCAGGTCAATGATGTCCCGCTTTACCCATGTTAAAATCTGGTCACCTTACCCTAACCACTTCTGCCTGCCAGTCGAATCACCTCTAACCACTCCCCTTCCAGCCTAACTGCTCCTCTGCCGTCCTAATTGCCCGATTGCCCCCAATTGCCCTCCCCTGCCAGCCAGTTAACCCATAACTGCCCTCCCTGCTGGCCTGGTCACCCCTAATTGCCTTCCCCTGCCAGCCTGGTCACCCCAACTGCCCTCCTTCAGGCCTGGTCACCCCTAACTGCCCTCTCCTGCTGGACTGGTCACACACAATTGCCCTACCTTGCTGGCCATCTTGTGACCACATGGGGTTGGACATCTTGTGTAAGTGTGATAGTCAATTTGCAAATTATATAGGATTGATGTAAACATTAAAATTCTAATGTTCCTAAAGTTATATAATACCATATTATAAAAAATATTATATTTAATGACTTCATATGAAAATATATTCACCTAAAGAATAACAATAATTTCACTTTACAAAAGACAGTAATATAAATGTAAGGAAACAAATTGGTATTTTTGTGATACATTCAAAATTGTTATGAGAGATTAAGTTAATTTGGTTAAATTTTGTCAAAATTAATTAAACTAGAATATCAGAATTACCGTCTGGATATGAAGGAATATTGTGGCCATCTTTCAAAGTTATTTAAAATTATCCATATAGTACTTTGATTAGTTTAGCTACTACATGTACGTTGAGACTATTTCCAAGTAGTCGATAACGCTGTTTCACTGTTATATTCTCAGGAAATCCTAGAAAAGAGAGATAACAATTTGTAATACAATCATTTGTATTAACTTCAGAGATAAAAGGATATATCCTTTAGTAAGAGTACAGTGATCATTTACATAAATAAGTTCCTAAGGTCTCCACAAAGTTCAATTAACAAATGAGAATTTAGAGATTTAGAGCTAAAAACATATGTAAGAGTATCTTGTACACACAACGTGATGTTGTAATATCCCATATCATACTATGCGCTGTGCACACACACATATATATATAACATCCACAGTACTCCTAGCTATTTGGATATTAGTGTATTTTAGGAAAAACAGTGGCTAACATTATTTCACAATGTCTTATTTAATAACAGGTTTTTGAAGATACAATTCACATTCTATAAAAGTCACCCTTTTAAAATGTACAATTCAATGGTTTTTAGTATAGTCATAAATTTTGCATACATCTCCATTATAATTCTAGAACATCTTCTTGTTGTTAATCTTCACCTGAGGATATTTTTTCCATTGATTTTTAGAGAGAGTGGGAGGCACAGAGAAGGACTGAGAGGAAGATGCAGGGAGTTGGGGGTGAGAAAACATTGATATGAGAGAAACACATAGATGAGTTAGGCTCCCAACTGAGCCTAAGCTAGGGCTGGGGATTGAACCTGCAACTTAGGTGCATGCCCTTGACTGGAAATGAACCCTCAACCTTTTCATGCATGGGCAGATGCTCTAACCTCTGAGAACACTTGCTAAGGTAATTCCTGAACATTTTAATCATCAATTCCAGAACATTTTAATCATTCCCACCCCAGTAGGATCAGACCTAAACAGGCAGTTGGACATCCCCCGAGGGGTCCCAGATTGGAGAGGGTGCAGGCAGGGCTTAGGGACACCCCCCCCCCCCACGGTGCATGAATTTTGTGTACCGGGCCTCTAGTCCTATCTAATAAAAGAGCAATATACAAATTGACCATCACTCCAACACACAAGATGGCCACCCCCACGTGTACACAAGATGGCTGCCACAAAATGGCCAGCAAGGGGAGGGTAGTTGGGAGGGATCAAGCAGGGGCAGGCAGTTGTGGGCGATCAGATGCCCAATGCAGGAGCTGCCCCTGGTGATCAGTGCGCTCCCTCAGGGGAAGCGCTGCTCAGAAGCCAGGCTCACGGCTGGCGGGTGCAGTGGTGGTGGCAGGAGCCTCTCTCGCCTCAGCATCAGCGCTAAGGAGCAGCAAGCCACGGAGAAAGGAGCAGCGAGCAGGCAGGGGGTAAGGAGCGAGGGGTCCCAGACTGCGAGAGGGCACAATCTGCACAGGCCATACGGCCTCTAGTTTCATATAAATGGAACCATACAATGTGCTGCTTTTGTGTCTGGCTTCTTTCACTCAGTAAAATGTTTTCAAGATTCATTTATGTTACAGAATGTAATATTTCATTCCCCTTCTATAGCCAAGTAACATTCTGTTGTATGGATATACTACATTTTATTTATCCATTCATTCTGTTGATAGTTGTTTCCCCCCCCCTACTTTTTAATTATTATAAATAAAGCTGTTATGAACATTTAAGTATACGCATTTGCGTGGGCATTTATTTTTCCTTCTCTTGGATACCTATAGGAATACCTATAGGGGTGAAATTGCTGGGTCAAACAAAAACTCTATGTGTAACATCTGAGAAAGTGTCAGACTTTTTTTCCAAAGTGGCTGTGCCATTTGTATTCCCAGCAGCAATATGCAAAAAGACGATTTCTCCTCGTCTTTTTCAGCACTGTTATTGACTTTTTTGTGAAATGGTATCTATTATAGTTTTGATTTACATTTCCCTTATAACTAATGATGTTGAACATCTTTTCATGTGCTTATTGGCCATTTGTCTATCTTCTTCAGAGAAATATCTACTCAAATCCTTTGCCCATTTTAAATTTTGATTATTTTTCTTTTTATAGTTGAGTTGTAAGAGTTCTTTATATATATTTAGGATACAAGTTCCACACAGATGATTTTTTTATATTGTGCTTCCACAAATGAACTTTCTTATGTGAACTTCTATTTGCTTCATTCTTTTTCAAAACAAAATGGCCCGCGGATACTACATTTGCTGGAACAAAGCTTTGTGAGTATCAACATAAAAGATTATATATGCCTCAGAGTATAGAGCATGTTAGTTATAATGTTAGAAATTCACATTCAGTAGCTTTTGGCATAGAAATTATATCAAAGTAAAGCAAGTAGATAATAAAATTAAGGGAGGCAGGATGGGGAGTAGAGATTAGAGATTAATCAGAGAATTTATATGCACATATGCATAGCCCATGGTGAAGGCCTGGGAGGTGCCACTGTGGAGTTGGCCCATGGGAAAAAGAAAAAGAAAAAGAAAAAGAAAATAAAGGAGACATCTGTAATACTTTCAACAATAAAGATAACTTTTTAAAAAAATTATACAAAAAAAATCAATAGAAAATACAATAAAAAAAGAATAGCAGCATTTCATATATTTGTGAGGACCAAAAGGTGGGTATATCTGATTAGGGTAAAGTTGCTTCATCAACACTTGACATTATATTTACTACAATAAAATAACATTGATTGTAAAACTATATTTGCAATTGAGCATAATAATAAAATTGCTATTATAAAGATAATATGTCTTAGTCAAGTACATTAGTCATCTCAAAAATTAGTAAGTTCAAAGTATTCAGAGGTACAAATATACCTAAAAACGGACTTTTAAAATATTGTAAGGATGATCTTTTGCAATATAAATTTGAGAACAAGTCAGATTTGTAAAAATTATATATGTCTGTATTTTATATCTAAATTTAGATATTAAAATCTAAGTTAGCTATGGAAAGATTACATAATTTTAAAAGGTATCTTTCAAAAAACTTAGATACATTAAAAATAATAATAATCCTCATAGACAAAAAAATATTAAAAAAAAAAAAAAAAAAAGAAAAGAATAGAATGAGGTCAAGGTAGCAGCTTTCCTTTAGTAAGGGTAGATGGGTGTTCCTCTCTTCCAAAGCCTGCTCTCTCACAAAGAGAACCAGGACAAATGTACGGAAAAGTCAATGCACATCCAGCATTGCCAGAGGACAGGCAGCTCACACGGTGCCCATTTTGGACCCAGAGTCAATAAAGTCAAAAGCGCATGGGAAGGACAGTTCCGTCATAGTGCTGCTCAGTGGTGACATCAAGGCAAGTCTGACTATACAAACAGATCACATATTTGAAAAAGAGTTAACCAATGAAAAAGGCTTTTGTTTTTTTATGTATCCTATAAATATATTTCCGAAGAGCTATGAAAAAAAATCTAATTTTACCCATCTAAAATTTTTGAATAAAGAGAAAAAAATCTTTACAAAGTAAAGGCTATAAAAAAAAAATAAATGTTGATGATTTAAAAAATAAAGGCTGGCTGAAACCAGTTTGGCTCAGTTGATAGAGTGTCAGCCTGCAGACTGAAAGGTCCCAGGTTCGATTCCGGTCAGGGGCATGTCCCTTGGTTGTGGGCACATCCCCAGTGGGGAGTGTGCAAGAGGCAGCTGATTCTCTCATTGATGTTTCTACCTCATTATCTCTCTCCCTTCCTCTCTGTAAAAAACAATAAAATATATATTTAATAAATAAATAAATAAACAAATAAAGGCTGATACTTAAAAATTTTATATTATGTGTCAGGGTATAAACATTTTACATATACTAATTTACTTGTCAAAACAACTCTATGAATTTGGTGCTGCAATTATCCCCATTTTATAGATGTGTAAACTAAGGCAGAGAGTAATTAAGGTACAGCTAGATTCAAACTCAATCAGACTCTGGGGTACATGATTAGTTTCAATATTATAAAACTGATGAGTATTATTTGAAAAAGCTCTCAAATAAAACAGGAATTATTTGTTATTACATAATAAGTCTCTTTTCTCCCTTTAATACTGTTGAAAATACCTTTGATTGTTCATTGTAAAAAAAAAAAAATTAAAAAAAAAGAAAGAAAGAAATAATAACAAGGAGAGCAGACTGGGAATTCTTGAGTTTAGCTCTCAGCTCTTTGTTTTATGATGTTCTCATTCATTTTGTGACATAAACTAAGACAAGGAAAGTCTATGTTTTTCTTAAACAACACTCCCCAGAACATTTGTGACTGAATGAGATCACCAAGAAAAAAGTGGACTACAAAATAAACAACTACATGGTTGCTGTGACTATGTTCAGAAAATCAATTACCAAGAGGGTAGTCAAACTGTATTAGCAGTTTGTTACTCTGCACAAGAAGTGCTCTAAAACTTCATCTGTAAATCCATTATTTAGAATTTAAAACATGATCTATTTAGCCCATTTTGTGCTTCAAGAATAGTACTGTATTACTATTATAATGTTAGATTTAGCAATTTGGCTTTTCTGCATTTAAACTTCAGAGCCATCAAAAACACATTCCCTCCTGGTATAGCCCTGGAAGCACATTAAGGAGGTCTGTCTTCCCCCTTCGCGAGAGCCAGGTACTGGGAGCACAGCCACCCCAGCCTCAGACATGCCATCCATACAGGGCAGAGCACAGGTGCCACAGCCTCAGACATGCCATCCATACAGCGGAGGGCACAGGAAGAAGGACCAGGAAGAGACAGGGCTTCTCTAAGAAGTAAAGGCAATGTGTCCCCATCTCTTAATAGCAACAGCCCCTGGAACTCCCAGACGAAAAGAGTTAGGACTTTGTCTTCCTCTACAGCTGTATCTATTTTAGTTTTGTTCCCGAGATTCCCTGCATCAGATCCCCTAATTTTCATAGCTTCTGGCACCTGTGTCCTGAGTCACCCTTTCTTTCCATTAGGACAGCTCCTTCTCGACTGCTTCTCCACCTTCTCTTTTCTCCACTTAAACTTTGTAGGAAAGGACATAAGCGCATGAGTGATAAGAATGGATCTTTGAATGCAAAAATAATAAATAAATCCGTCAACCTCCTTTTAATTTCTTCATAAAAAAGACAATTCTAGGCATTTTTTCACACAATCTAATGTTGGATTATTATTAAAACAGGACCACTGGGAGCAAGAAAATAAGCTGGAGAAAGATACTATTAACATCCATCCATGAAGGAGGTAGGAAATTGCTGATTTGGCTCCCTGTTCCTGAAAATCACTCAGGACCATAATCGGAGTGAAGGGGAAGGGACACAAGTTTAAAGAGACTGGTCTGAGGCAGGCTATAAATGAACGTGAAAGGTGAGGAAAGAAATATGTCAATAATGGCACAATCAGGAAAGAAATAAGGTTTCTTACATCCATCTGTCTAAGCAAAGATTTCTTCATAAAATACACATATGAGTCCCTAATGAATTTGGGGATCTTTAACAAAAGCTGATATTTGCATGTATCCCACATACCAAATTCTGGAGGAAATCCAAGCAGATTTGCAATTTCTTTAGGAGTAAAATATCGAAGTTTAAGCATTAACAATTTTGTTATCTTTTCTTCTTGTGACAAATTGGTAAGAGATTTGTAGATATTCTCAATCTGTAAGAAAAGCCCCAAGATAACTGATAAATTATACTGCAATTAGATTTGTTAAGACAGACTTTCAAACTACAGTGGGAAGGCGGGGGGGGGGGGGGGGGGCGGGGGGGGGCGCGGGGGGGGCGGGCAGGTAGGGGGGAGGGAAGGTCAATGGGGATAAAAAAAAAAAAAGAAGACATGTACTACTATTTACAATACCTTAAACAATAAAATAAATAAGTTCTTTCTGCTTACAAAAAAAAAAAAGAAAAGATCACCTTTTGTGAGATGGTTTAAAAACGATAGAATGTCTGCTGTAACACATGACAGCACAGGGCAAAATGTCTCTTCAATAAACTACATAATTGGCTCATCAATGGCAATATAAACTTTGAAAATGAACAAAAGCTCAATGTTCAACAGATCAGGATACTTGCAATGTATCTGTCATTTTTGATTTCTCAAAATTAAATTAGAATATAAATGATAAAAGATAATATAACAAAAAATAAAGGAAAATATTAAAAAAAAGTTGATCAATCAATGAGGTCAATTTTATGTTTAACAGATACAGCATTAAAATGTTAACTGTTTACTATCAATTTCATAACATTTTCTTAAAATAATAAAATATATTTAATAAATATGATTTCTCAAATACAGATATTCAGTTGCCTCTGATAGAATTTTTACGGGTAGATCTTATTAATAGTGAGTATAAATCATTATAAAAGAAGATAATTGATTTCATTTCAAACATATTCAAAAGTATAAAATTTGCAAAATATCAAACTTATATTCAACCGTGATACCATAAAGAGTTTATAATTGAAATATTAACAAAATGCTTTGCTAAAACATGGACTTCTTTCCCTAAAAATCATAGTATGTGCTGCAAAAGAAGTCCCCAATTTTAAGATATTTGTACAAAATTTTAGAGAAATTAACTGTTGCACACTGAATGCCAATATCCTCTTTGTGGAATAAAAAATACAGAAGGTAAGAAAAAAAAGAAAAGAAAAACAAAATATTCTTTTTACATAAACTTATGCAGCAAGACATTTTCTATTGTAAAGAATTACAATATCTGAATATAAATATGAATAATATATATGTCCATTTCCAATAGAAAATGTAAAATTATTTTGATATTTTCAAATTTTAAGTATTAAAAATAATTTTATTTAAAATAATTTTCAAATAATTAAATTCTAAAGCATCCACAGTACCTGCACATCCTCTGCAGTCTGTAATACAGATCCTGTCCCTTCTATGTACCTCCCATAACTGAAAAATTAACACAAATATTATCTAATGTATTTGTTAATGCAAAATTTCTTAAGTATTTCCTGAATAAATTAATCAATCTACATAATTCTATCCTTCTGTAACATTCTGATATCATCATATACATAGGCTTAATGATTTAAAAATAACTGGATGAGAAATATAAGATCATTTTATTTAAGCTTCTCAGACACTAAATTTGGCAGTATTTTGAGTTGTGTAAATACTATTTTGAATTATGTATTATCAATTGCCATTTCTTTGTATTGTCATTTTTAAAATGTTCGTCACTTATAAGTATGAACTTGTTCCAATTTTATATCTAAATACTATTCAAATTTATATCTCTTCTACTTTAAACCAAATGTTACGCAGGTAAAAATAAATTACTGCTCTTTTTATAATGCCAGACTATCATTTCTTCTCATGAACACAAGGTCCTACTCTCCAGTACCATGACGAACATGGACCACTCAATATGTATCTGCCTCTTACTGTAACGCAGTACGTTTTTACTCTTTTCATTAAAAATGAGACTACTGCAAGGTACTAGTAATATTTCTTCCCCTAAGATCATTGCCAAGCTGGTTGTTCAATATATTATCATTATTATTTTTCCTAATAGATCAATTTAAAGAATAAATTAAAGAAAGTCACAGCAGAGAAAAATTGTTCTCAAATTGTTTTCTCACATATTATATATGTATATTTGTATTATCCACTCTAAAACAACCTTTTACAGTAAGGCTTCTTTATATCATTTTTATAGCTACAAAAAATTCAAGGATATTTTTTATTGTAAAATTGATGTCTTCTTTTATTAGAATCCTAAAAAAAACCTATTGGACTTGGAAATAGACAGCAGCTGAGTGAAGTCTTTTAAGGTAATGAAAAGCAATAAACCTGTTGTCCTGAAAGTACAGGGGCAAATTATGATGAAATCAGAATGAATCTGGTATGACTATATCATGAACATAGTGTCTTGTGCAGGATAGCTAGCTAGTAAGTAAAAAGAGAAGACTACGTATCAAATGAAGTTGAATAGCATTAATAAAGCTGAATCAATGATCTTTCACATTTTCTATAAAGACCTACATTTTACCTTCTTTTTAAGTTTTAAAATATTGGTGAAAATATATATTAACATTCAAGAAATAACCCAAAGGTAACCAGTAAAAGAAATTAAGATATACCCATACCACGAGAATAGAAAAGTTCTTTATGTACTTATATGCAATATCCAATTTATATTGTGCAAAAAAAAGGGCACATATGTAAAAATAGATATGATATATTACCACTTTTTAAAGGAGGGGGCAAAATATACATGTGTATTTAAATGCACCTTCACACATGATACCTCTGGAAGATTAGACAGTAAATTGAAATCACTGGTTACATGTAGGGAGGAAAACTGAATGGCCAAGACACAGAGTAGAAGGGAGTCTTAAAATGTTAGTGCCTTTTGTAATTTGAACTAGGAAAATTTATTATTACTTAAAAACAGAACAAAATTTAAAATGTACTCTAACATGAGCCAGATTATTCAATTTTGTATTTTGATACTAAAATTTAATTTCTTCTTATATATTGATCATGAGAGAAAACATAAACTTTTGAGGTCTGATGTAGCATAAAATGAAAGGTGCTAAAAAATTAGTAATTTACCCCATATATAAACCATATTTTAAGCTCCCATGGAAGTTACCAAACAAATGGCATTGTCTTTTATGAGCACTTTTATGGGTTGTATACACATTGTTCTGCCAGAAGGAATTTTCACTCATGTATTCTATTGGAACATGAAAGCAGGCAATTAAGGATGGAAAAAAAATTCTAGCAGAAACATTTTATAAAATGATCCTTGTTTTGAGAAGAACTAAAAGAGACAACAGTATAAAAAACCTGGTTATTTTGGATATCCCATGAATAGACTCTCTTTAAAACCTACCCTTTTGTAAAGCACATGGACCTTCTGCAAGTGGGCTTAACAATGTCAAACAAAAGAGCATAACGCAGCAATGACTTTGGTGGCAAAAAGTATTGATTCATGTCAATATCATCTTCAAGAAAATCTTTTAGCATTTGTACAGAGAGATCACTGTCCTGTTGATGCTTCCGGTCAATTTCCTCTGCAGTTTCAAGCTTAAAAAGAATGCCTTCTTTTCCTGAACACTGTCTGCTGCTATCAAAGCAAACATTTGGTTCAATTTTCTTTTCTTCAATTTTATTTACTGCATCTTTTGCATGTTGTTGAGGATGTTCAGATTCCATTTTGGGAAACTCCATCAGTACCTGGCATTAAATAAAAATATACATATTGTCCAAAACTTTATTAAAAATAAAATAAATTAATAATGTCCAGTCAACATTATGCAAAAATTATTTTAGCCTTTATAAAATTGTCATTTGAAAGATAAAAACTGTGGTTTATTTGTATTTATACAAATTATCACAAGTTATTCTTCATATAGGTAAAGTATCATCTGACTGCAGATTATTTATTTCATTGAGTTGCTGTTTTGTGTATTTATTAATAAAAATATCCAACAAAGTAACAGGAAATATGTTGAATAAATGTAGAGTATCATATCTTTGGAAAAAGTTTAGAAGCAACATTAACATTTCTAGAAAATGTACTTTGGATTTGAGTTTGCCGTTTACTTCATCAAAGAAGAAAAACTGGAACATACCCATAATCTAAAGGAAAACTAGTAACTAAAAAAAGAAAAGCACTTTTCACCCTGAAAGGTTAGTTCTACTCCTGAGTCCCATAGGAAAAACTTGTTCCTGCAAAACATGTAACCATGTATAATGTCCTATTTTGCAAAACAAACAAAGTTCCAGGAATTTTTAATGAAGTCTTTGTTAAAATGCTTTGTACATTCTTTTTGGAATTGCTCACTATGGGAAGGGAGATATATTGGTACTGTACCGCAGGGGATTAAAATGACACTATTTTGAGCTCCTGTTAGTAGGATATGACTTTTAAGTTCTCACCTGTGAAAGTTATGGAGAGCTTAACTGAACCACTGAAACTATATTATTCAGACCAATTGCTGAGAGAAGGATGTATAACTACTTGAATAATCAGATATTCTATCTATAGCATCTAAGCATTTTATTCTAGTTTGTACTACTCATTACTACATTTTAATCAATTAAAGCTAAAAAGCATGGACTTCCATGAAAACAGAACCAATGGATTTTGTTGAGGGAAAAAAGGGTAACTGCACTAATGGTAATTTTTTAAACTTTTAATTCATGTTTTTTTCTAATGATGAAAGAAAATTTTTATTTTGTTTAAGGCAATAAATGTGTCACCAGGAGAAGAAAAGGCCTAGGGCCGTGTCCCTTTGGCCCCTTGAATGTGGCTCTTCCACAAAATACCACGGCCTGGGCGGGCCTAGTAATAATTAATGTCGTTTTAAACATTCGTTTAAAATCTTGCTTGGCATTGACTTGTATTGACATAACCTTCAAACACGTGGTATCTACAGAACGTGTGAAGTGCAATTAACAAGTTTTGCTTGAAAAAGTTTGTGTTTGGTTTGGTTTTTGTTGCAAAACTAGGGCTAAGAAGATGGCGGATGAAAAGCATATTCGGCACTGCATGCTTTCACGAGTTCCAATTAGGAAGAAAAGCAAGTGAGGCTGCAAAAAACATCTGTAGTGCTCTTGGTCAAGATGCAGTTAGCGCCAGAAAATGCCAGCGTTGGTTTGAGAAATTTCGCGAGGGAAATTTTTCGTTAGATGACAAGAGTGGTCGAGGCCGTGTGTCCAATTTTGATCAAGAAGCTCTTCAAGCTCTTTTGGTGCAAAATCCTCAAATTACCCAACAAGAGCTTGCGACAACTTTAAATTGTTCACAAACACAATTTCCAATCAATTGCGTGCACTTGGCAAAGTCCAAAAGTTTGGAAAATGGGTTCCTCATGAGTTGACCGACAACAACCGTAATCAAAGAGTCACAATTTGCAGTTCGCTCCTCTCTCGTCAAAACCGTTTGCCGTTTTTAGAGCAAATTGTTACCGGAGATGAAAAATGGGTGCTGTATGTTAATTTGAAAAGGCGGCCTCAATGGTTGGACAAAAATGAGGCTCCGCAGCCCACGCCAAAACCTGACTTGCATGCGAAAAAAGTGATGTTGTGTGTTTGGTGGAATTTTAAAGGAATTCTTCATTATGAACTTTTACCATCTAACCAAACCATTACAAGTGCAGTGTATAGTGCCCAGTTGGAAAGGTTAGCCCAAGCTTTAAGAGAAAAAGAACCCATGCTGATTAATTGGAAGGGCGTAATTTTTCACCACGATAACGCACGACCGCATACTGCAAGAATCACTGCTGAAAAACTGCGCCAGTTGGAATGGGAAGTTCTCCCTCAACCTGCATATTCTCCTGATATTGCCCCTTCCGATTACCATTTGTTTCGTTCTTTGCAAAACTTTCTTCTTGGAAAAAAATTTAATAATGAAGAATGCCTCAAAAATGCATTGACCCAATTTTTTGCATCAAAATCACAAGAATTTTACAACAGAGGGATTAAAATGCTTCCTGAGCGTTGGGCACAAGTAGTAGAAAACAACAGCAACTATATTGTTGATTAAATTTTGTTGTATTGTTTAAATAAATTCAATTTAAAAAAGTATTAGAGAATGACATTAATTATTACTAGACCTAATATTTTTGAAGAAGTGGTGTTAAAAGAAGTTTAAGTTTAAAAAATTTTGGCTCTCAAAAGAAATTTCAATGTTTGTACTGTTGATATTTGACTCTGTTGACTAATGAGTTTGCCGACCACTGGCCTAGGGGATAGACCTATGCATGGTTTATTATAGACGCAATGAGATACATAGAAGCCTCTGCAAAGTAGTTCCTGAAATAAATGAGCAGACTGAATATATTTACAATACACACACACACACACACACACACACACACATATAATAATGATGATGATGATAACAACAATTATAATAATACCTGACCAGGAGCTTGAAAAGGTAATGGCTCTGCCTGAAGCTTTGCAATAAGGAAATACCGTAGCCTTGAATTTGGAATGCCAAGCTGGAAATGAAAGAGATCTCTATAAACTGTTAGCACCTAGCAAAGAAGTTCATACAGGTATACATTTAGCCTCTACCATAAAAAATTATGTTACTGAGTTGTGAAAGACTACTTTGCATAATCCTTAAACCCTTTAAACTGCTGCTTTGTACCTTTATTTGAATTAAAGACTGAATCTGATAAATCATATGTCTATGGGTCACTTTAATTTTATATTTTCCAGGTAAGAAGTTATATAGACATTTTTACATTCATTATTGATAATATAGTAACTATAAAATATAGTTATTCTTGGGTATTTCTTACCTCATTTTATTAAAAAAATAATTCACTAAATTTTAAAGTTAAAAAGCAATAAATATTAAAATTAGAGATTAGATAAATTTTCAATTTTCACAGTGGAACATCTAATTTTTTTATTGGTATTAATTTTTTTTTAAGTTTAAAGTGTAATATTAGTTTACACAGTCCATAAATAACAATTCACCTGTAAAGCAAATGTTCATTCAATGAAGATTTATTGAATAAATGAGCAAACTGAAAGAAGTAAGATGGGTAAAGGTTACAATTCCCTTATTATCTACTGCATCTATTTTTCCCCTTGCTATTTGGGTTGACTATGGAGTAATTTACTATAAACCCTGGTTCAAAGAGAAGTCACTGTGAATGATAAGACTTTTTAATGTACTTGCTTTGTAATCTTAGATTATACTTAAATTCAATAAGAGCAACAGAAAATGAAAAGAAAACCACGGACATCTAATTTTGAAATGGGTTTTCTTTTAATATTTATTGTTTTTTAACTTTAAAATTTAGAAATAGAAACACTGTTTTCATATTAATTAAATGTCCCAATAAAAGAAATTAAAATATTATGATATGTTCTTTTTCTATTATTATTATTCTGAAGCATTACTAAACTACAGCACACCCATTGTGGAAATACCAGATGGCACATAATTTAAAAACACACTTATTTTTTCTGTGTGGAAAGAAAAATATATTCTCTATGAACCTCAAGTTATATATTTTTCATAAAATAAGTATAAACGAATATATAAGCCTGCATTATAGTTTTTAGAAAGTAAAACCCATGTCTGAAGTAATTTTAAGATTTACCTATAATATTATCCAAATAGATCTATTCTTCTTACAAATTCAAATTACCTTTGAGAAAATTTATATGAGTTTTTATAACTGTGGTACCTACAGAGGTTGGTGATAATAGAAATTCTTGGTACTGAAAGCCACAATTTTCTATTGTTTTTATTAACAGGTCTCTGAAAAGACAAAAATAAATGGAAAAGGAAATGAAATGCTTTCACCTTAAAGTTGGGATCTTATATAAAATATTATACATAAAATTTCATTTTAACTGAAAACTGTTCCTACACTCAAGTTGTTTAGAAGGAGAGTGATCCTGGGTTTTCATTAAGTGCAGTACTTGAGAAATTACATTTCTCAAAAAAAGACAATGATAATTTCTATTTCAAAAAAATATAGCTATCAGATAATTTATCCAAACTGATGAGCGATAGAATTGCTAAACCTAGTGATGCTAAATTTGCTATGGGAAATGGAATTATCTGTAGTAAGTCAGATGGGAGAATACTGCTAAAGACAGCAGCTAAATAAAACGTGTGCATGCTTTCTCTCCAGCTGGGTTACCATCTGAAAGGGCCCCAATACATGGCTTTCTTCCTCTGTCTGATTGTGTGACAGAAAAAGCCTGTCCACAGGACCAATTCTTTTTTCTTTTCTTTTTAAATTAAATTTATTGCGGTGACATGAGTTAATAAAATTATATAGGTTTCAAGTATACAATTCTATGATACATGATCCGTATGTTGCATTGTGTGTCCATCACCTAAAGTCAAGTCTCCTTCTGTCACCATATATTTGACCCCCTTTACCCTTTATTACTCCCCAACACCGTCCTTCCCTCTGGTAACCACCAATCATACTGTTGTCCAGGTCTATGAGTTCTTATTTGCTTGCTTTGCTTATTTGTTCATTGTTACTTTCAGTTTTGTATTCCACATATGAGTGAAATCATATGGTTCTTAACCTTTTATGTCTGACTTACTTTACTTAACATGATATACTAAAGATTCTTCAACAGATAATTGGATTAAGAAAATATGGTATACATATACAATGTAACATTACTCAACCATAGAAAAGATAAATACTGCCATTTATGACAATATAGATGGATCTTAAGGGCCAATTCTTACTAAAAACATTTCTACTTCTAAAGAACTAAGCACCAATATAAGCAGCTAAAATTGAGAGATACCAATCTTATTAAAATAATTGTTCATTCTGGAAAATTTCGAACATCAGAACGGGAGAGAATCAGTTTAACTAAACTTTCCGATACTTTTCAAAATCAATATTAATGAATAAAATATATAACATATAAAATATCAGAATGTACATGTTTATTTTTAAGATCTTTATTTCACAACAGCTAAGATTAACACAAGACAAATACATGTTTTACCTTGCAGAAGATACTTCAAAACCTTTAACATTTTCTAAAAGAATATACTTCGGTAATGCTTGTAACCTAAAAAAAATAGAAAAACAAAACTAATAGAATTCCAAAAATCTCATTGTTGAAAACAAAATAAAGAAATTCCTTATTTTTGGGAAATATGAGGTAAGCAATTTTCTGAACTCTCCTTTTTTTATAAAAGAATTTCATAAGGGATGAATACAACTCATATTTTATTCATTTTCCCCATAATCAGGGCATACCTGATAAAGTTAACATTTAAATTGTTAATTTCCATTGAGTTTATCTCAAAACATGGGTTCACACAGAGCCTCTGATGCAACTCAACGGCTGCCATTTACACAGGGCTAGCACTGACTTCCAGCCATAAACAACAGCATTCGCTAACATAAGCTTCATCTGCATTAATACTATGAGCAAAGGCAACAGAGTTTAGCTATTAGGCTGTAATTCCCTGACACTCACTGTAATGGCAACTGTGGAATCAGCAAACTTTTGCAGTTATCTTATTATTCATGACAGAAGAAGATAAATGGCATGCACAGTATCTGCAGGCAGCATGTATAAACTACTAATCTCTATAAAATGTCCAACATCACATTCTGCCAGATCCACGGTTTTAAATTCAAGGTAAGCTTGTCCAGAAATCTTAAGGTTTTACCTTGGGAGAATATTTAGAATATATAAGAAGCTATTCGTCCTTGGATCAGTCACATCACCTTGCAGACCAATTCTAAAGGGATTGAGAAAGCACAAGTAAGTTTATTAAAAATGTTATATAAAGCTATCAAATCTCTTTTAAAAAGTCACAACAAAATGCATTACAATTAATTGGTCTTCACAATAAATATGATCATCTGTGTTGCACAGAGGACAAAATGCACTTCTTTTTTTTTTTTTTAAAGCCTTCCCTATCTATTAAACAAACTTAAAATTTATTTTTACAAAACAAAATGCCAAACAACTTACATGAGACAAAGAAGAAGAAAAAGCCAATGAAGAATAAAATCAATTACTCTCCTAATATAGCTTGGATTGGGAAAGATACACACACACAATTGTTGATGGCACCATTTACTCTGTCCAGATGGGACAAAAGTTCCAATGAATGAGCTGGTTGGGTAGTAAGGCAACAAAGACCTGAGAGCATTGATGTCTTATCACCATCTAAGCAGATCAGAATAGTTGCTAACACTAAAACAATCTCGTCCAATGTAAAAAGGAGAAAGTTAAGCTAAAGGCTTGATTCTATAAGCAGGAGTTCTAACTTGGTTACACTAATAAGATCAAAACATCACATAAACAGGCAGTCGTTGGACTAGCATTTATTTCTTACAAATAAGATTCAATATAATTATCTGACCATTATGCTATACACCTAAAACTAACCCTACCTAATAAAAGAGTAATATGCAAATTTACCACACATTTGCTACGCCCAAGCCAGCCGGGTCAGGTGCGGCCAGGCCCGGAGCAGCGGCTGCCAGGCTGGGAGCAGCCAGGCCCGGAACAGCTGGGTCTGGTGCAGCTAGGCCCGGAGCAGCAGCTGCCAGGCTGGGAGCAGCCAGGCCCAGAGCAGCGGCTGCCAGGCTGGGAGTGGCCAGGCCCGGGGGAGCAGCCGGGGCTAGTGCGGCCAGGCCCGGAGCAGCGGCTGCCAGGCTGGGAGCGGCCAGGCCCGGGGGAGCAGCCGGGTCGGGTGCGGCCAGGCCCAGAGCAGCGGCTGCCAGGCTGGAAGCGGCCAGGCCCGGAGCAGCAGCAGCCAAGTCCAGAGCAACTAGGTCGGGAGCGGCAGTGACCAGACCCGGAGCAGCTGGTTGTGGAACGAACCAGAGCAACAGAGGCCAGGCCCTGAGCAGCCAGGCCCGGAACAGCTCGCTCCTCACCTGCCCCTGCCCCATGGCTGCCTTTCAGACATGGCTGGAAACTTTCGTGGGAACTTGAGGGTCTGCTGAATCAAGTGATGAAGGCTTAGATCTGGATGTGTTGAGTTAGTATAGGGCTGGGGTGCTGATCTGTGAGTGCCTTGGGTGGGGCCTGGATGAGGCTGGTGGACCTATTGGGAAATGTCTTTTGTGTGAAGTGTATCATTGGGCATGTGGAGGTATTATTGATATGAGAAAATGCTAAATAACTGATTTACTATCTGAAAAGGGATTTACTATCGGGGAAAGGGAGGGAAGAAGAGACTGAACATAAACTGTGCACCTATGGATGAGGACAATGGGGGATGGGGAGGGGGCGGAGGGTGGGGTGGGAACCTGGTGGAGGGGGGAAGAAATGAGGAACCTTTGTAATAATATGAACAATAAAAATTGATTTAAAAAAAATAAAAATAAATAAAAGAGTAATATGCAAATTGACCACACATTTGCTATGCCCAAGCCATGCCCACCAGCCAATCAGGGAAAACATGTAAATTAACCCAACCAAGATGGAAGTTAATTTGCATATCAAGATAGCACAGAAAGACTCCAAGTGCTGCAAAGGGAGAAACAAGCAAGCAGGGTGGCAGAGAAGGGTGAGCAGTTGGGAGCCAGCAGTCGTGGATTATGAGAGGGATGTCCAACTGTCCAATGGGCAGTTGGACATCCCTTGATGGGTCCCAGATTGAAGAGGGTGCAAGCTGGGCTGGGACACACACCCCCATGCACAAATTTTGTGCACTAGGCCTCCAGTGTAAAATAATATAGAATGTCAATTATAATTAAAAACTTTTTTAAAAAAGATTTAAATTATCAAACAGAAAGTAAGACTTGGATTGGGCCTCAGGTGTAGAAAGAGAGCACCTTACTACTTACCAGCTTCATAATCTTACATAAGTAACATAATATCATGCATCAGTTTCCTCATTCATACCTGACAGCAGGGCCAAAACCATCAATGAACTTGAGGTTCCATGGTAAATTAGTGTACTTGAATAGATGACTCAGAAACCTTGGTTCCTCTCATTCTGCCCTTTCCTTTCCGCATTCTAATTGGTGACAGTACTACAGAGTCAATTACTGCTGCCAGCAGCATAAGACCATATAATGAAGCTGAAAAATTACCTTCACCTAGAAACACTGTAACCATCATAACTACATATGCAGTGCAATACATTGCTCACTTATTTGTGGTGACACTGACATAAACAAACATACTGTGCTACTATCCTATGAAAGTATAGCACATATAATTATGTATAGTACATAATACTTGATAATGATAATAATCGACTATGTTGGTTAAATAATGGTTTATGTATTTACTATATTTTTTATCATTATTTTAGAGTATACTCTTCTACTTACTAAAATAAGTTTGCTATAAAATGGTATGCCAGGTTACACTGGCAACAGACTTATATATATATATATCTAGTGTGTATATATATACACACACACATACTAGAGACCTGATGCATGAAGATTCATTCAAGAATAGGCCTTCCTTCCCCACTATCCCACCGCCTTCACTCTGGCTGGAACCACCTTTCTGTCTTCCTATGCTGCCCAGAGGCCCGGATCAGCTGGGGCAGTGTGGCTCAGCACCTGTGTATGCAAATTAACCCACCATCTTTGTTGGTTAATTTGCATACCCACTCCTGATTGGCTGGTGGGTGTGATGAAGGTACAGTCAATTTGCATCTTACTTTTTTATTAGTGTAGATACTAGGGGCCCAGTGCACAAATTTGTGCACTTTGAAAGGAACTATGGGCCATGAGGCTGCGGTGGGCATAGAGCAGGTCTTGCCCCATCCTCCACACCCCACCCACCCCCTCCCACTGCGGGTCGCAGTCCTCTTTCTGCCAGCAGCCCCACTCCTGCCACCACCGCTTCCACATGCTGATGGCACTGGCCCCACTCGCACCTGCTGATGACGCAGAGCAATTGGGGACAGTGCCATCAGCGGGTGCAAGTGGTGGCTGCCGCCTCAATCACTTCTCAGGAATGGAAGGGGCGTGGAGAAGCCCTCAGGGGCAATCGGGACTGGCAACCACCACTCACACTCACTGATGGTGCTGAGCAATTGTGACCGGTTCCAGGCGCCAACAGCAGGTGCGAGAGGCAGATGCCAGCCCCGATCACCCCTCTGGAGCAGGGGGAGGTGGAGAAGCCCTGAGGGGTGATTGAAGCTGGCAGCCCCCCTTGCACCCACTGACAGTGCTGAGCAATCAGGTCCAGCGCTCGGTATGAGTGACGGCTCGGGTGCTGGCAGTAGATGCGAGCCCTGGGCAGAACCGCAGCATGAAGGAACAAAGAATTTTCAGTAACCACCAGAGGCTTGCCCTGATGACTGTGACCAGCGCCCCACCTTGGTCTGGTGCCCCACTCACCTCCACCACTATCCCACCATGGCCGACACCCACCATGTTCCGCACTCTGCCATCTGCTGCTGGTGCCTACCATGTCCCGCGAGCACTCCCTGGTGGTCACCAGTTGTTCAGTTGTTTGGTTGTTCTGCTGTTCGGTCAATTTGCATATTAGGATATATATATATATATATATATATATATATATATATATATATGTGTGTGTGTGTGTGTGTGTGTGTGTGTGTGTGTGTGTATGTATAATATATATACATATATACGTATATATGTAATTTTTGCCATGTCTTTAATTACATCATTTTGTCTTATTTGATTTAATCTCATGTTGTTGCATAAGTTCAATGTATCCTAAGTGTACAGTGGATATAAAGCCTATAGTAGTGTACAATAATACCCTAGGTCTTCACTTTCACTCACATTTATTTACTGACTCACCCAGAACAATTTTCTGTCCTGCAAGTTCCATTCATGGTAAATACTCACACAGGTGTACCATTTTTCATCTTTTATACCATATTTTTACTGTAACTTTTCTATGTTTATATACATAAATACTACCATTGTGTTACAATTGCCTACAGTATTCAATTCTATATGGTAATATGCTGTACAGGTTTGTGGCCTGGGAGCAATAGGCTATGCCATGTAGTCTAGCTGTGTAGTAGGCAATACTGTCTAAGTTTATGTAGGTGCACCCTATCATGTTTGCCCAATGATGAAATTGACTATACTTTTCTCAGAATGTATCCCCATAGTTAAGTGGTGCATGATTATATCTTCTCAGGTAGGTATAGAAGAGCTCTGTCATAGTCACTGTATATCTACCATTGACCAAATCACTTTGCTCTTGCGGCAGTAATTGCTATTTCTTTAATAATTAATAATAAATTATAAATAAACTAAAAGTCCAGCGCACAAATTTGTGCACAGGTGGGGTCCAGCCGCCTGCCCTAATTGGGGTTGATTGGGCAAGCTGGTCAGTGGGAGGGGCCTCAGGCAGTTGGCAGGCTGGCCCCACCCCCTGGTTGAACTCCCAAACTCCCAATCAAGGGGGTCAATTTGCATATTAGCCTTATATAGGATGAGTAGATAAAGGAAATTATTTATAAAAAATTCAAAACTACAGCTGATAAAATTCAAAGTATCCATACTCAAAATTATAGTATGATTTGATTTAATAAGTTCTTTAAAAGTACTCTTTCTCAACAGAGAAATATTTATTATACATACCTTGTGAATGGCTGACAAGGAGGGCTCATTAAAATCATATTGAAAGATAATCTGTCAAACTCTTCTAATGTAATGCCCTAAGGATAGAACAATAAGAAAGAAATTTAAAAAAAAAAAATGGGTAGAATGGGAAAGGAGAAAAATGCTAATTATAACTTAATATATAAAAAATTATACCAGTTAATAGTTTTATTTACAATACTTAAAAGTTTATATAATACAATACTTTTCAAATCAACTTCAGTTAGATTAATTTTTCAAAGGAATCTTGTGATGGAACCAAAGTTATGAAAAATTAAGTGACTGTCCCAAGTCCCATTGCCAGCCAAAGCAGAGCTGTCACACTCCTTCCCTGATCCACAGCACCTCAAGGTTAACATTGTTGTATTTTCCAGAGTCAAACGGAGAATTATATAACCAGTGATTTTTCAGCCTAGGTTCTAAGAAATTTTTAAATACCTCTCTAACAATATTTTTTATTTTAGAAAATGTGATGTACTGACCAGTAGCCATCCCTTTCATGTATGTCTCTGTTAATATGCCACCAAATGGAAAAAATATCCCATTTTTCAATTATGCACAATATTATATTGTTTTATAGCTGTATATAAGCAAAGAACTTCAAAAGGTTGTAGATAAGATTAACCGAAATAATCCCTACTAGACTAAATAGTTGGAAAATGTGTTATTTTGCTCCTGTTTTATATAGCAGAAGATAAAATATAGAGAACCATAAATCCATGGGTTTGACACTCATGAAGCCCTCTTAATGTGCACTCTTAATCAGAAATTTAAAGCGACAAGACTAGAAACACAACATTCCTAATTATGACACATTTCTAAAAAGTTTAAGTATATAAATAAAGCAGAAAAAACTTTATTCTGAGTTCTGTAAAGACTGAGTTAACCAGTTGTCTCTATCGTATTAAAAGTTTAAATGTACATCAGATTTAAATTTAAGTGTACATCATATTTAAATCTCAGGATTTTAAGTAGCTCAGGATATATGTGTAAAATGAAATTGAAATTAAATACAAATGATGAAGAAATCATACAATGACCAGTCTGTCAGAAAAAGAGGCAAGGCAATACAAGTAGATAATGGCGCCAGCACAGGGCTATGTGACGAGCAACTTACAGATTTCACAACTAAAATGTGAATTAAAATGAAATTCTTAAAACTGAAGTAAAAATAAAACAATAATCTTTTATATCAGAAATATCCCATGTCTAGAATCTAGAGAAAGTAAACAGAGTTAATATGTCCAATACAGTAAAGTAAGGCATGAAAAATTGCAATTTTAAAGGAATCTTGAAAATATGTAGTGATTTTTTTAAAAATTAATCCACAACGGAGGATATTTTTTCCATTGATTTTTCAGAGAGTCAAAAGGAGGGATGGGGAGAGAGAGAGAAACATCGATGTGAGAGAGACACGGTGATTGGTTGCCTGTAGCATGTGCCTTGGCTGGGGCCAGGGATCAAACCTACAACCCAGGTGTATGCAGTTGGTGGGGAATTGAACCTGTGGCCTTTGGGTGCTCATGGCTGACACTCCAACCACTGATCCACATCAGCCACCAGCGATTTTTTATAGTGCAATCCAAATGATAGAGCAGTTATACAAAAAATAATCACTCACACTTTTCACAACTTTATTTAACCTGGTATTCTAAATCAATAAATGTGTTGGGATTCAAGTAATGGAAATACAGAAATTATTTTTAATACAGTTAACCCTTGAACAATATGGGTATGAACTGCATGGGTCCACTTATTCATGAATTTTTTAAAAGAAATACCTGTACTATTTCCAAATTATATTTGGGAGTCCACAGATGTAGAGGGCTGACCATATGCATTGATCTACAACAGCAATTTTCATCTCTCATGGTACATGAAAACTAATTACTAAAATTCTGCAGCCCACCAAATAATATAGTTTTTGCTGATATGACAAAATAATAAATATAATTTCAACTAATTCCTACCAGACAGCTATTGTGTTGGCTATTGTCATTTTTTAAATTTGACAATCTAAGGAAAAAGAGGTCAGTGCTCCTTGACTAAATAGTCAGGTATTGCATATTTAAAAGTCTAGCACACTAGTTGAAAATTGCTGATCTACATAATTTTATATAGAGCACTTAAGCATCTGCAAATTTTGGTAAACAATGAGGGCCTGGAATTAATCTCCCACAATTACTGAGGGACACTTGAATTTTTCGGAGAGTCAAAAGTTGTATGTGATGCATCTATTTGATAGACCTGGAGCAATTATTCTCTGCTGCTAAGGGTCCAGTGCAGATGCAAGAAAAAGGGGTCACTGCATTTTCTGTCTGATTGTGGCAGCCAAGATTGAATGGGGGAACACAGGAGGGGGGAAAAAAAGGTTGAAGATGGATTTTTGATGCACAGGGGTCGGTGCCGGTGCCCCTGCCTCCCAGGTTGTTCAAGGACCAACTGTAATTTGACTTTTTATTTTCAAATCCTCACCTGAAGATGTTTTTATTGATTTGAGAGAGAGAGAAAGAGAAACAGTGAGGTGAAAGAGAAACATCCATCATCCATTGCTTGCCTCCCGTATGCTAATAACCAGGGATTGAAACGAAACGTAGGTTATGTGCCGTGACCAGGAATCCTACCTGTAACCTGTGGTGTATGGGACAACACTCCTATCAGCGAAGCCATCCAGCCAGGGCTCTAATTTGACATTTTAGAGCTAATGGAAGTCTATTCTTTTTTCATACCCTGGCCATACAAGTAAATAAAAACATCTTTGCTTTCATAGAACATTAGTAGATGGACTCAGTGTGGTAACAATGTTTATCACATGCTGATGAGCAGTTTTATTGTCCCCCTACTTTCTTTATTCCTCCTTTTCTCAGACTTTCCTGGCTATTCTTATACTTAATTTAAACATTAGGAAGAACTTTGTAGATTAGAAAACAATTTTAGTGAATGTATAGTTAATCTAACTAAAATTTGTACGACATTGTCATCCTATTCAACACTACAATGTGTTTCCGTTTTTCAAATCTCTTTTACTCCCATGTGGGTCATGCAGTCTTCTTGTAAAGTTTATTTCTTGGTGTTTATAACTCTTATGTTGTTACTATAAATAGAAACTTTATTCCATTATATTTTCTAACATACTTTGCTTACATATAGTAAGTTGCTGGCTATCATATCTTTGTAACCAGCCTATTTATTTATTTATTTTAAATGATTTTTTTACAGAGAGGAAGGGAGAGAGATAGAGAGCTAGAAACGTCAATGAGAGAGAAACATCGACCAGCTGCCTCCTGCACACGCCCCACCGGGGATGTGCCCGCAACCAATGTACATGCCCTTGACCCTGGGACCCTTTAGTCCGCAGACCGACACTCTACCACTGAGCCAAACCGGTTTCGGCTATTTATTGCATTTATTAAGATGACATTGGTTAATAAAATTATACAAGTTTCAGGTATTCAACTCTACAATGCATCATTTGAATGTACTGTGTGTTCATCACCACAAGTCTCCTTCCATCATGAGTAATCCTCCCTTTGCCCCCTTCTACCTCCCCCAACACCCTGCTCCCCTCTAGCAATCACCATACTGTTGTCTGTGTCATGAGTCTTCCTTTTTTTTCTTCTTCATTGCTTAATCCCTTCATCCTTCTCACCTCGGCCCGAAACCCCGCCCCTCTGACAGATGTCAGTTTCTTCTCTATATCCTTGAGTCTGTTTTCACGCTGTTAGTTTATTTTGTTGATTAGATTCCACACGTAAGTGAAATTATATGGCACTTGTCTTTCTCTACTCAGCCTCCTCATTAAGTGCAACAATTGTTCCTCATACTATTTTTACTTACTATTAAATATACTAATAGCTCCTGTGCTATTTTTAGCACAATACATTTTGTGTTTCCCAAGCATATACAATTATTCTTTGGAATCCTCCTTAGCATTTATATACTACTAGAGGCCTGGTGCATGAAATTCATGCACAGGAGGAATGGGGTCTCTACGCTCGGCCTACACTCTCTCCAATCCGGAATCCCTCAGAAGATGTCCAACTGCCTCTCAAAATCCGGGACTGCTGGCTCCTAACCACTTACCTGCCTGCTTGCCTGATTGCCCCTAAACACCTCTGCCTATTTGCCTGATCACCCCTAAATGCTCCCCTGCTGGCCTGATCACCCCTAACTTCCTCAGCCTCGCCCCACACCCGGGACACAGAATTCCCTCCTCTGGCCGGTAGCAGGCACCCAGGGCCCGGGCCAGCTTTGCCTGGGCTGGCCACGGCCGCAAGTAACCATGGATGTGATTTTTTAAGACTCAAATATAGGCAATTACAAAGGCTGTGCCCAGCAGGGAAAGGCTTCACTGGGTAAGCTGTCCTAACACTCCAGAACTGGTGCATGGCCAGTGCATCTTAGTCTCAGAGGGAGACTGCAGTCAAAGTCTTGGGCCTCTTGGCTAGTCACGCTCTTCACATATATGTATTCCTAGGTATCTCTACCTGAGTCCTTGGGCAGAGGTCCTCTTGAGGCGCCATCCATTTCTGCCAAAACCTCCATACAGGAGGGAAAAACTTTGAAAATACTTCTTCCCACTTTGACTGACAGCACTTTCCACACCTAGCCTAACCCTCCCACCCCCGACCTTCCACAACACTGAAAGGCTCCCTAAACAGTAGGCTGGTCCCCAAATCTGTGCTGATCCACCAACTTACCAACGTGCTAGTACATGAGGAAATAAAACAGGGGTGTTAGCATATTCTTTGTTTTTTCAGAGACTTGCTTTTATCAACACAGTATGTGATTAAGGCTTCACTCTTTCATTTTGCCATGTTGCTTTTATCAGCTATCAAACCTCTAACAGCTGAGGTTTTTACAACAACATTAAATATTGTTCTAAGAATCTATAGCTTCATCTACCTTTCAAAGAATAGGCATAGTTTTTGAGTCTCATTTTCCTTTTCTACTCCAATTACATTATTATTTCTATACTGCAATAGTTTACATATTCACCCTGATTTCTAACCATAATTTCTTTCCTATCAAGGCAGCTTCATTCCTAGGTTTTCTACTTTGATTCATCTCTTGCTTAGATTAAGTGACTGTGTCTTTTTTATAAAGTGCTATGGGTACTGTAATTGCTGTAGGTTTTTGTCTTAGGAATTTTTCCATCTATTTCTGTTAATATTTTTGTGCCATTTGTTTTATCATCGTTAGAGGCACTAATTATGTTTATTATGGATCATTCTTGTCTTTAGTAGTTATTATTTATTCTCCAACGTTCTAATCTATATTCTTTTCTATTTATTTTGCTTTATTTTTCTCGAGAGAGCCAGAAACATTGATGAGAGAGAAACATTGATCAGCTGCCCCCTGCACAGGGTACATGCCCTTGACCAGAATCGAACCTGGGATCCTTCAGTCCACAGGCTGACACTCTCTCCACTGAACCAAACCAGTTTGGGCTCCTTTTTAATTTTGCACAAACTATGTAGAGGTTGGCATGCAATTTTGCCATTATCATTCAATTTTGTCCCAACTCCACTGCATTGATACTATTTTTCATAGTTTTTTTGTTGTAGCTTATGGCTAAATCCTATTTTAATTAGTAATGATTTTTCATCCTCTCCTTTCTCTTCTTATTTTTATTAGGAAAATAAATAAAGTTGTGGAGTAGAAATCTATTTTCTATGCCACATTAAAATCAGTCATCCCAAAGAAAATGGTTTACAAATTCAAATTCTGCTCTAAACAGTAAGTTCTTCAAGGCAAAGACTGTATCTTAGTCATATTCGACTTCCTTTGAGAAGCTGAATGCCTTTCATAAAGCAAATGATCAAATAAATGAGTATATATTGTTCTATAACTTAAAATCCCTAAAGCCTTTCATTACGCCCTTCTCCTCTCCGGCCCTGAACCACACAGTGCCCTGTGCCCACCCCAGCACCCTTCCCCGCGGAGCCCAGCCCATGAGCCCCCGGACCACGATGGGGCGGCGGAGGCAGCGAAGGCGGGAGCACAGGAGTTCATGTGAGCCCCAGCCCTGCCATGTGGGAATTAACTTTCTATCCCTTTAACTTTCCCATTAACTTTCTATCCCTTTTCATATATGAGGTGGAATCTATCAATAGAAAAAGACCCGGCAATAAAAGAGATGATGAAATAGCCAACATTTTACAAAGTCATTATCAAATATTACCAATTTGTTCAGACATAAAGGAAAACAAAACATGAGACAAATTGAAAACATGAAGAAGAAACTTCTAAAAATGAAAAAGAAAATATCTGAAATGAAAATTATACAATGAAAAATGAAACCTACAAAATCCTGAATATACAGCAATAGAGCAGTCTTTAGTAGAATGATACAAATATATAGTAGTATATGTGTGTGTGTGTGTGTGTGTGTGTGTGTGTGTGTGTGTGTATGTATAAAACTGCCCCTCTCTGCTGGTCTGGTTGCCCCTCACTGCCCCCACCTGTGCCAGCCTGGGTTGCCCCATGCAGCCTGCTGTGCAGTCGTTTGGTCACTCCTCACTGCCTCCTCCCCCCGCCCCCCTGCCCCACCAGCCTGGTAGCCCCACACAACCTGCTGTTTGGTTGTTGCGTGAGGGCATCCTGTCCAATTTGCATATTATCCTTTTATTAGTATAGATATCTTCCATTACTTTTAGAGAAGAAGAGAGATGGAAACATCAATGATGAGAGAGAATCATGAATCAGCTGCCTCCTGCACACCCCACTGGGGATCAAGACCTGGACATGAGTCCTGACAGGGAGTCAAACCTTGACCTCCTGGGTCATAGGTCCACGTTCAACCACTGAGCCACGTCCGCGAGGCTCTTGAACTCATTTTAAAGGAGAGTTGACACTCTAAAGGTCAACTTGCCCAAAACAGCCAAGTGGCAGAACCCAGGGGATGGGGGGTAGGGGGGGCTGGCTCTAAACTCACACTCAAAAGGTCTCTGTGTTAATCAGTTCAGCCAGGGCGGGTGGACTCTGGCTCTGGCTCTTCAAGCAGCACTTCCTTGAGGCCCTCAGATTCCTGCATGACCCCCCACCTCCCTACCTGCCATCGGAGCTGAGGAGGGTGGAGGATGGAAAGGGCCATCTGCAGTTCACCTGGATGGTGAGGGGGAGGGAAGGGCAGAGCTGGGAGCACCACAGACCCCGCTGGGAGTTAGAGGCAGCGATCTGGATGCTGATGGCCCTGTCCCAGTGTCTCAGGAGCCTTTCTTTCCAAGTAGCACCGCAAACATTGCCTTAGGCCCTGGTCTCAGCTTTTCTGCTTTGTGGTACAGGATCCGCTCTGTCCTAGAAACTAGAGTTGGAAATTAGAGTCAGACCACCTAGGAAAGCCTTTGCATTGGACCATGAGCACTTTTATGTCACGCGTGACCCGGGTTCCAGGCACAGCTTATCTGTGTGTCCACAGAGGGCTTTCATTTTCCTAGTTCTCAATGTGTGCTTTCCATAATACTATACATTCTGTTTTGTTGTTTGTTGTAAAATATATATATATATATATATATATATAAATAAATATATAAAACTATGTGAGTGTTTCCAATAAGTACTTATCATCACTGAAGAGAGCTTGGGGGTGGGGAATGGGTGGGGGGAGGAACGTGGAGGGATTAGGGCAGCCAGACAGGAATGACCTGAATGTCAGGGTGGGAGGCTGGTCATGAACATTCCATGTCCCTCGTGTGGAGCTCAAACTAAGGTCTGGGTTTTACAGTCAGACCCTCAAAACAGATGGGTTCTGATCCCAGGCCCCCTGCCAGCAGTTACTGGAGACTCTGCCTTCCCAGAGGCCAAGCTGAGCAAAGGATCACCTCCCTCCTACCCCCCACACTCTGGCTTCTTCATGCTCTGACTTCCCTCCAGCACACCACAAAGCCACTACCTTCTCTGCCAGTTTTCATTGTCTCTGCATCGCCCACGGCGAGGGCGCTGTTGCCTCGTGCTGTCTCCCTGCTTCCTCTTCCCCTTCAGTCTGCTCCTGCACCTCCCCCTGCACTCAGGGGACACCAGGTTCTTACAGGCCCTCAATCCCTTCCATTCGGCCTATTGCTTGTCCTCTTGCCCCTCCATGGGCTGTCTCCTCTACTAAATGCCCTTCTCCAGGCATCCGCCTGGCTCTCTTCCATCCGTCCACTTTCCCTCAGTGGCCTCCCGTTGCCCCTCCCTCTCAGATCCCCTATTGGCTTCAGTCCCAAGTTTTCATGATACCCATGCCCTCTAACAGCTCCACCTCACATCTGTCTGAGGCTGTTTCCTCCCCGCACCCCCATCCTGTCCTGGAGGAATGCATGCTCAGTAGGACAGGGGTGCTGGCTCCCTGCTGCTCTGAGAGCACCTTGGCTTGACTAGGACAGGGGGGTGCCCAGCCAGTGGTACGGGGTGAGTAACAGTGTTAGGTGTAAAGGCCATTGGAAGGCAGATTCAGTTGGAGCCAAGGGCCGGTGAGCTCTCCACTCAGAGCTCAGGGCAGGGCTGTGGGAGTGAGTTGTTCCTTTTCTCACAAGAAGGTGGGAGGAAGAGAATGAAAAAAGAGGAGTGTGTGTTTTCCCTCAACTACTTAAAAGCTGATGATCTCATTCCATTCTTAAAGCTATGAATAGAAACCCTTAGATCAGCCCTGTGAGGTGGGTTCTGGGATTATCTGAGATTCCGTGGAGAACACAAGGCCTTCACCTGGCACAAGGACAGTGCTTAGTGACCGCCAGCTTTTAGTGCTGCGATTCGTGCACTGGTAGGGGGCAGCCTGTAGGGGGCAGCCTGCAGGGATCAGCCCGCTGGGATCAGCCCGCTGTGGAAGCCCCGTGCACTGACCACCAGGGAGCGGCTCCTGCATTGAGTGTCTGGTTGAATGGTCACTCTGGTCGTTCCATCATTCAGTCACTGGGCTTTATTATATAGGGTAACTTATCAGTGAATTAAGATAATAGTATCTTGCAGTGTTTTTCAATCACATTCTCCTTGCTGTATGCTTATTAAAACAATAATAATAGCTACTCACTTCAATTGTCTTGGCTAGTAACTGTGTTTGAGGAAAATTATACTTGTATACTTCATTAGCAACATCGTTCACATCAACGGCAGCCACCACATGTGCAGGTATACCGCTTTCTGTAATGAGAAATGGAATAGCTTAAAATGTAAAGACCTTAACATCAACTTTTTCATTACAGAGAAGTCAAAATAAGGAAATGTAATACATTTCCTCACTTCTTCAATTATCTAGTTCAGTGATTTTCAACAACTGTGCCACAAGAATTTTTAAAACATGCAATATCTGGCTATTTAATCAGGGGCATTGATTCTTTTCCCTTAGATTGTCAAATAAAAAAATGACAACAATTAACACAACAGCTGTCCAGTGTGAATGAATCAAAATTATACCTATTTTTTTTGTCAGATCGGCAAAAAATATATTACAAAGGAAAATAATTACAAAGGCATACCTTCAACTGTCTTGCTGAAAAAAAAAAAAAAAAAAAAAAAAGCATGTTGAAAATGCTTTCAGATTCAGAAAATTCTGCCATAGTCTTTAAATGGCAATCAAAATTTGAACTATGTAAGAGTAGCTGCTGTTATATTTTTCAATTGCCATCCTTTATGCCCTTCTTCCCAAAACACACTATATGTTCACCCTGTTCCAAGTTAAGGGAAAAATTGGAGGGTTTTAAAAATAATAGTACCTAAGACCTCTTAGAAAAACCATTAGAGAAAATACAAAAGTACATAATAGCTTCAAATAGCCATTTCTTTAATACCCATTTGCTGTTAATAGCTTAGATAGCCCAAGTATCAAAAAAAATAAATAAATAAATAGGATGTGAGTAGCTAGTGTTCATGAAGTAGGTATCTATAGTAATAATCTATAATAAAAGTGTAATATGCTAATTAGACTGGATGATTTTCCAGACGAAGCCGGGACTGTGAGGGAAGCCTGGGACCCGGGTGCCAGAGGGAAGCTGGTGCCGGCAGCTGGGGGAAGGAAGGCCTACTCTTGCACGAATGTTGTCTAGACAAAAAATACAAGATGGGGCAACAGAGAAGGCTCACACATTTAGAAATGACAACCATACACTGAGGCCTTGAGGAGATGATGCCAGAGAGACAAAAGGGCATGTATGTCTCTTAAGTAAATACATACTAAATATCTACTGGGCTCAAGACACTTGGTTAGGACCAATTATCTCCTAGGTACCCTTCTGCCTTGTATATAAGTCATAGGGAACTTTGAATTCCTGTTAGTAATATTACAGGTGGCTGCCTCCAATTGAGTGTAAATTAAATAACTAATTACTTGCTATAATATAAAATAAAGATATAAACTGTATCTTTGTCAAAAGCATCAGAGAGATCTTGAAACATAAATAAAAAAAGGCTTTTAAACAATAAAAAAATTAGTATATAAAGATCACTTTGCAAAATCACCTATTATAATTCAGGCTAAGAATTAACCATTATAAGAACTCAGAATTAAATAAACTTCACTGAACAATTTAATTGTTTTGATAAATAAAAAGATGTAATTTGCAATATATGCAACAAACTGAAAGTGCCTGGAGTTGGTTAATACAATTATTTAAGCAAGCAAGAATCAAACACACACAAACACACACACACACAGTATTTAAATAGCAATAATGTTCCTTCTTTTTCTGATCACTCTTTCTGGAAAAGTTGTGGGAAAAGAGCCACTGCTTAATAGTAGCAAAAAGGTACATTTCTTTTCTTCTTTATAATTTATTTTCTGATCTACATCTCATATAGGTGAGTGATTATTTGAATTACCTCCTTAAAAGCACACCTGAGATATCTAATCAGGTATGTTAACACTGACATCTAGTTGTGAAATGGAAGATCAAATGAATACATCCAATGTCTGTTTCCTTTCATTTAAAGTATTAGCTTCAATAAGAATAAAAGTACTGAGTAAAACAAGACCTGCAAGGACTCTAAATTTAAAGTCATCGCCAAACATTTTATCACTAATAGCAAAGTACATTTCTTGTTTTGTTTTGAATATTTTTGCATTTCAAAAATCACAAATTATTTCTGTAAAATAAAATGAAAAGTGAAAAAAATTTTTTTTGATCCTTAGAAGTTTAACTAGTAGCCAACCAAAACCAATTTACTTTGGGTTAAGACATACGCAGCGGTGGGGAACATCTGGCCCGTGGTCCATACAAGGCCTCAAAATCATTTGGTTTGGCCTTTCCAAGGTATTAGGGGTGAGTTAATTAAATGCTTGACCAAATAGAGCAAGCTAATTTTTAGGTTGATAATTTTGTATGGCCCACAAATGATGTTATAAATATCCAATGGCCTTTCCCCATCCCTGCCTTTATTGTTTTATTATTTTTAAATATATTTTTGATTTCAGAGATGAAGGGAGAGGGAGATACAAAAACATCAATGAGAGAGAAGCACTGATTTGCTGCTGCCAACACACCCTTACTGGGGATCAAGCCTTACAACCCGGCCATTTGCCCTTGACAGAAATCAAAGCCAGGACCCTTCAGAGATTCTATCCACTGAGCAACACCAGCTAGGACCCCACTCCTGCTTTTAGATCATTGCTACATAAATCTGACTAAATATAATGGCCCATCAATCAGAAAGTGGATGGAACTGCTTGAGATTTGTGTACAGACTAGACATGAGGAAGTGAGATGCTAAATTAATGTTTTAAAAAAGGCACATTGAGGGAGTTCACTTGTAAAAGAAATAAAGATGCTATGACAGATACTATAAAGAGGAGGAAATGAATCTTGAAGAGGACCTTGGAAAAAAAATTAAGCTGTAAGAAATTTTTCCAGTGAGTCTCTAGAAAAGTCCACTTAAAATGATGTTGGCATACTGAGGTAGTTCATACAGCTACTGCTTTCCTTATTTCTCTCTTCCTTTTTTCCTCCCTTGCATTCACTTTCTTGTCATACCTTAAGCTTCCCTGTGCAGAAGCAAAGCAAGAAAAAAGCAGTTTGGTAGAGGCCACACAATCCTGCACAACCCTGCATCATACTTAGCCTTGGGCACGCAGGAAGCCTCAATTTCCAAGGACATAATCTGGTTCCTAAAGGAAAGTTTAATAGGCAGTTGAAATTAGAGTTAACTTGAACCTCTATAACCGTTTTATTCATCAGTGATGAACTGTAATGATGAAAATGTTGTGTATCTGTGCTGTGCAATATGGTAGTCACTAGCCACATGTGATTACTAAGTGCTTAAAATGTGGCTAGTGCAACTAAGGAACTGATTTTTTCATTTAATTTAATTTTAAATAATTTAAATCCCAATAGCTACATATGGTTGTGGCTACCATACCAGGCAGCACAGCTCTCTCTATACGCATTGGTATTGCTTTCATCAGTTGTCCTGCATAGGAAGCCTTATATAGAGTGGGTATCATGCCATGACAACCTATGGAGTCAGAGAACTCATGTTCAAATTCTGGATCTGACACTTATTAGTTACAAAGCCCCTAAGCCTCAATTTCCTACCAATGAAGTAGACATACAGTATTTTTCTGTGTATAAGATGCTGTTTTTTTGTTTTGTTTTGTTTTGTTTTGTTTTCCCTAAAATCGTTAGACTGAAAATCAAGAGGCACTTATACAAGGAAGTCAGCAGAGGAGGGAGCAGCACAGGTGCATAGCTACCCATACCTTGTCAAACAGGCCCCCTCCAATCACAAGCCTCATTGTTACTGATGTCAGCTGAAGCTGTAATTGGAGGTGGAGATCGAGAGTGTACAGATGCAATAGGGTCCAGAGCCTTCTGAGCCCATAAATATGTCAAAAAAATAAAAAGACAAATACCAGTAAACGATTGTCTTACTCTGCAAAATTCAAACTGGATGTGATTAGTTATGCAAAAGAGCATGGAAATAGAGCTGCGGAGAGACAGTTTGGACCTCTTCCCACTGAATGTATGATCAGACAGTGAAGAAAACAGGAAGAACAACTCCTTAAGATGCCAAAAAAGAAGGCCTTAGGAGGAAAACCAACAAAATTGGCAAATTGGAGGAGACTTGGATTATGGAGCAGCACCAGAGTGGCTCATGAGTATTAACCAAGCTTATTCAATCTCAGGCAAGAATGTTTGCAAACAAAATGAACATTGTTGATTTTACAGGAAAGGCAAAATGGTGCTTTAAATTCATGAAGAAAGAAGGGTTGGCCATGAGAACATAAACAAAGTTAGCTCAGAAAATGCCACCAGGTTTTGAGGATGATCTCACATACATAGACAGTGATTCAGAAGACAGCAGTGATTCAATAGAAGTTGAAGAAATTGATGTGTCTGGAACTAACAGTGATGAAGAAGAGAACAGTGATGTAACAGAGGCTGAATAAAGTGATATGCTGCATAATATCATAGTACTAATATGCAAACATTCCTGCAGTAATCTATACTAATAAAAGTGTAATACGCAAATTGACTGAATGACAGAACAGCAGAATGACCATCCAGATGACCATGCTGTGACACACACTGGCATCAGGCCAGCCAAGGCCGGTGCAATATGATTCGTCGGGGGGCCCCCCCGCCATTGCCCCATGATTGCTCCACAAAGGGAGGCCCAGGCCACTCTCTATGGGACGATTAATCAGGGGGCTCCGCGGAACCAGGGGGTGTGACAGTGAACGTGGGCAGCGCCAGGCCAAGGTGGGTGTGGGCGAGGGGGCAGGGCTGTGAAGCCAGCAGACAGGGGAAGGAAGGCCTATCCTTGCATAAATTTCATGCATCAGGCCTCTAGTTACTAAATAAAAATGTTTTCTGTTTTATGTTTAAAATATTGATTTCTTAATTTTAGGTTGGAAAAGTGGGGGGCATTTTATACACAGACAAATACGGTAATAGCAGTTCCCACAAAGAGCTGCTATAAAAAATAAATGAAATATGTAAAACACCTAGTATATAGTAGATTTTCAATAATTATTAAAATTCCTTTTCGTTGCCTGATTTCTCATTGCCTGACTTCTAACTGGATAAAAGTTATAGATATTATAGATAAAATTAGGGGCCCAGTGCACAAGTTCGTGCACCTTGAAAGGAACTGTGAGCATCAAGGCAACAGTGGGCACAGGGGCAGGTCTCAGCCCACCGTCCATGCCC